GGCCAATCCCGAACATAACACCGACAAACAAAGCACCAGCGAACAACACACTGAACCGAAACCCGAAGGCCTTGAGCGGTAGGTCTCTAATAGCTCCCAAGCGGGTTATTCGGCCACTCTCACATTGCACCTGCGCCCCACTGCCCCACTACTTTGGAGTCAAAGGCCCCGGTAAGGGTTCCAAAACACCCCCTTCGTCGGTGTAGACTACCGCGAAGTATGTCTTGCCCCAAAGTCTTAGGTACCCCTTTGGGAAACCCCCTTTCTCATCTGTCTAGTTCTTCCTCCCACCCTTAAAATGTACGATCAGCCACCTGTTTACACCAGCCTTCGGATATCACTCAGCATTCAACTAGTGGGGTGAACCAACCAGAAGATATAAGATTTTTTAAACCAAAATCACGTTTTCACTTAGCCTCGTTCAGTGTTCACACAGTCCATAAGATTGATCAACAAGCCGACTAGGCTAGAACCCTTGAAACTTTTAATTTAGATGTATGCTGTCTCCGGAACACGCATCCAACACCCTACTTCAGTCATCTACTTTCGTTCACCTGACCCAACCTCGACCTCACGCTTCATCCTCCGCATGTTAGGCAATTCGATATCCAAAGCTCGAGGTGTTGCTGGTGTTGAGATTGCGCTAAAAGCCAAGGCTGAACGCTCGTTTCTCGACTGCGATCTAGTCCGTAGCCGACTGCGCGCAACGTCACAGCCGTTCATCATTGGTCAACAGCTACAGAATGAAGCGATCATGCTTATTCGTCGTACCGGTTTATGCACCGAGCGATTGCAGTACAACGAAATTGAAGGATGAATTCTACAAGGATCTCTCTAAACTGCTCCAAAGTGCTCGGTCAACAGACATCGTGGTAGTCGCTGGAGACTTCAATGGTCAAGTGGGATCATGGCAGAATCCGAAAGGCTTGATGGAGGACCACATGCAATCCCAGCCAACCGGACGGACAACTGAGACCGCTTAATTCAACTCTGCGCGGACCACGGATTGATCCTGCCAACCACAAACTTCTGGCACAATAAACCAAACCGCCAACCTCTACACAGCGCCCGACAAAAATTGACCACATCGCCATCACTTACCGCTGAGGGTCCATTAACTTTAAATGGTTAACATCCGTAGGCAAGCACCATGCTTTGCTACGAGTCAGATTCTCCCTACGTCTGGTAAACAATCATCATTCGATTGCTTCGACCCCATTGTGCCACATGGATCCCAGTAACCGCGAGTCCCAGACCATGTGGCTGAAACTTCGGTTCTAATTCTTCTATAACTACCTCTGCACTGCATACCGTTCCCAAATAGTAGTGAGTTTTCGCCCTGTGATCTTTTATCGGCTTTGATACCATTGTTGAAACAGATCCCGACGCTCAGTTCACAACTATGGATGATTTTACCGTCCTTAACGGGGATTGGCTGTTGCACTCTTTAAGGAAATCGCTCCCTTGAAAAAGAAGAATGATTTGCCTTCTTAAACAAAATTCACGAACTGCTTTATTCCCCGAACCGTAACCGTGGCGTGTTGGAGACCACGCGCATACGCTCGATCTTGTTCTCCCTTCCAATCCACAATTATTTTCAAATATTGCCACAATCCCTCTTCTGAGCTTGGCGGACCGTCGTCTCCACTCAAATTATCCGTTCCACTCTTCCTCTCAATTCTGGACGCACATTCTGACGATACGGTTCCGCTGGCCTCTCTCCTGAGCCGCTTATTCTCCCTATCCCTCGATTCCGAGGTATTCGTAAATTCATGGACAAAATCAGAAATACTCCCATCCTCAAACGCAGCGATCACTCAGATCCGAACAACTACCGCTCCATCTCTCTCACGTCAGGTCATGGAATCAGCCATTGCTGATCAACTACGTCACCAAATGGAGTAGAACAAGAAGCTTAGCGACCATCAGTACGGTGCCATTGGGTATATCCAAAGCTTTCGATTGTCTGACATGCAGGTGTGCTGCCTAAAATACCTAAGTTTAGCTTCCCTTCGGAACTTGTGTCACAGTCAAAGTTTTATTATGGGTATTACTTTTTGTCCCATAGGGTGTTAACACGAA